ACCTCAGGAAAGAGAAATTCATGCAAGTCAGGGTCTTACAGGTGCCAACCCTGATCCCCTAATTTTAGGAGGGCTCTTCTTACCTTTCCTCGATGAAACTGATGTCGAATTAGTGGCAGAAGTGGAAGAACCAAGCACCTTCCTGGGAGCTCGGGCAGCCACCACTGTGAAGAGAGGCAAAAGAGGGCGTTCAGAAGGGGCAGGAGGATTCGGACACCGAGTCCTGAACCCAGCAGCTTGGAGAGGAGAACCTGGTGATCCAGAACAGCAGGATAACCTTACCCTGCCCCCGCGACTTCCTCTTGAAGGTAAAGGGGCCGGGCAGCCGCTCCGTGGATAGCTGGATGAGTTTGGTGAACCAGGCCCAGGGGGACCTCTGGCGTCTGTCGCCCGTGGCCAGGCTGCCAAGAGGACCCCCCTCCCCCGCCGCTGCCGCCCTCCAGTACCACACTCGATAGTCTCACCTTTTCTGTAGGTGCCTGGAACACTGTCTGCTTTAGTCCGCACCATGTTCAAACAAGATGAGAGGAGAGGAGAGAACCAGCTAACTTCCCAGTCGAGGATGTTTCACTGGACAAGGACCCAAAAGCTAATCTCCCGCCACAGTTTATATCGGTCTCTTTCCCGCGCGCTCCAAGGACTCTCCTGAGCCACCTCTCCCATTGGTTCCGCGTCGTTCCCCATGAACCAATTGCCAATGCCCAATGGTGACAGCAGCAAGACTTCTTGCAGCGCGGATCCGTCCATCAACACTCAAAGGCCCAGGATTCGTAGGCGCCCCAGGTGGGCGGTACCAGGACTGTCCAGGGGTAACTGATAAGTGGGTGCTGTTTCTGAACTAGAGAAATGAGCCTGCTTAGAAAAGAAAACCCAGCAAAGAAAGCGAATTACAACCTATCTTCAAATGTTACCATAGGCTTAAGTCCATAATGATTGACTCCTGCAGGTGAAACCTGAAATTAAGTGGACTTTTTGATGCAAATCAAAATAGAAAGAACTTGAGAACTTTCCTTTAGTACCCCAGGCATGAATTCTTTGTACAGCATCAATACTAAAACAATTCTATGGAATGGGGAAAAGGAAGCTAATACAACTTATTTACAAAGCTTTTTTTTATATCTTTAGATGGTGTGAGACTAAACAAAAAACTGGGTGGATTGTATGTACTTATACACATAAAGAAACTAGTAAAACGTCTTTCTGAGAACTGAATGGTCTCAGAGCTCCTAAATAGTCTGTTAAATCTGCTGGGCGCAGGGACTCATGCCTGTAATCCCAGCACTTTGGGAGGCGGAGGTGGAAGGATAGCTTGATTCCAGGAGTTAGAGACCAGCCTGGCCAACATGGTGAAACCCGTCTCTACAAAAAAATATATGCAAAAATTAGCCGAGGGCAGAGGCTTGTTTTTGTAATTCCAGCTACTCGGGAGACTGATGTGGGAGGATAGCTTGAGTCCAGGAGGCGGAAAATTGCTTGTGCCTGGAAGGCAGAGGTTGCAGTGAGCCATAATCACCCCACTGCACTCCAGCCTGGGCGACAGAGTGAGATTCTGTCTCGAAAAAAAAGGAAAGAAAGAAAGAAAGGCGGGGGGGAGGAGAAGAAAGGAAGAAAGGGAGGGAGGGAGGGAGAGAGGGAGGGAGAAAAGAAAAGAAAAAAAACCCTGCCAAATGTGGTAAGAGCACATCCCTGGCACACAGAGAGCATAGCTCTAGAATAAAGGGTCAAAATTTTTTTCTATCCTTATGCTTACCTTCTAATTACAATACCCCTGGGGAGTAATTTTCCCTTTCTAAATACCATACATAAAACAGGATCAGATGAACTTGCCTTGGTATGTATTCTGTTAAATACTCACTTGAAAGGCTACCCTAGGAGTATAATCACAGCATTAATTCTTTTCTATGAATTTCTTGAACTTAAAACAAAATTAGGCTACTCAGTACTTTAACAGAATCAACAACTACATCCTATAACAAAGACTTAAAGAATCTAGGCAACAAGTTAAATTAACACAATAATAGAAAATGTATTGGCAATTACCTGTAGTTTTGTCTTAACCCTGGAGTCTAAGATTACAGCCAAATCAACCTGAAAAATCCACAAGCCCCAGGGTATTCCTTCGTTTTTTGTCCTCATGCCCCATCTCATTACACAGTGGGTTTTTTGTTTTTGTTTTTGTTTTGGGACAGAGTCTTAGGCTTCTTTGCCCAGGCTGGAGTACAATGGTGCGATCTCGGCTTACTGCAACCTTCACCTCCCAGATTCAAGCAATTCTCCTGCTTCAGCCTCCCAAGTAGCTGGGATTACAGGCAGGTGCTGGCACGCCTGGCTGTTTTGTATTTTTAGTAGAGATGGGGTTTCACCATGTTGGCCAGGCTGGTCTCCAACTCTTGACCTCAGGTAATCCACCCTTCTCAGCCTCCCAAAGTGCTGGGATTACAGGTGTAAGCCACCGTACCTAGCCAGCACAGTGATGTTTAAATCCAAGTATTTCCTTTTCAGTTTAAGTGGCTTCTACATAGGTCTGAATTACTTAATTTGAACTCATATTCCAGATTCCTGCAGAGAGAATCTGGTATCTTTTCTCCTTACCCACCTGCCAAGTAAGTTGCCACAGGTGATTGCTACCACACCTAGCCAATTTTTAAATTTTTTGTAGAGACAGGGTCTCCCAGTGTTGCCCAGGCTGGTCTCAAACTCCTGAGCTCAAGCAATCCTCCCACCTCAGCCTCCTAAAATGCTGAGATTACAGGTGTGGACCACGGTACACAGCCACCTATGTTATTATGGAGGATGTACTTATTATAACATGTGTGACATACTAAATTCTACTATACAAAAAAAAAAAAAACTTAAGTTATACTTTCTTCCTTAAACCACTTAATGTTTTAGTTATGGAGACTGTTACGGTTAATTTTAGGTGTCAGCTTGACCAGATTAAGAAATACCTAGAGGGCCTGTAATCCCAGCATTTTGGGAGGTCAAGGTGGGAGGATCACTTGAGGTCGGGAGCTCGAGACCAGCCTGGACAACATGGAGACTCCCCATCTCTACTAAAAATACAAAATTAGCCAGGCGTGGTGGTGCATGCCCATAATCCCAGCTACTTGATAGACTGAGGCAGGAAAATCGCTTGAGCCAGGGAGACAGAGGTTGTGGTGAGCTGAGATCCCACCATTGCACTCCAGCCTGGGCAACAAAAGCGAAACTCTGTCTCAAATTAAAAAAAGAAAAAAAGAAAGACCTAGAGAACTTGTAAAGCATTATTTCTGGGTATCTTTGAGGGTATTTCCAAAGGAGACTGGCATGTGAGTCAGTGGACTGAGTGGGGTAGATCTGCTCACAGAGTAAGTGGGCACCATCCAATTGACTGAGGACCCAGAACAAAAAAGGTGAGAAAAAATATTTCTTCCCTTCTGGAGCTGAGGCACTCTTCTCTTGCTCTCAGACATCAGAACTCCAGGCTCTCCAGCCTTGAGACTTGAGGATTACACCACTTGGACTGAACCAGCTACCAGCATTCCAGAGTCTTCAGCTTGCAGACAGCCTGTTATGGGACTTCTTAGTCTCCATAATTTCCTGAGTCAATTCCCTAATAATTCTCTTCATAGATCTGTATCTATATCTATCTGTTTATCTATCCTATTGGTTCTGTCTCTCTGGAGAACCCTAATACAGAGACTGAATAAATAAACAGGTAAATGACTTGGATATCTTATAATTATTATTAAATGTAGTAGAGTTTTACAAAGAAACAAAACTCGTACCCACAATTAATAAACATTGACAGAGTATTTTGTCTTTTTCTTAAAAAAAAAAAAACTGGAAAATCATACACTTTCCAAATTAATGACATCAATGACAATCTAAATGCAGTGTAAATCAATACATTTATGAGGTTCGCTTTTTGTTTTTGTAACAAAGTCTCACTCTGTTGCCCAGGCTGGAGTGCAGCGGTCTTACAGGGCTCACTCCAAGCTTGATCTTCTGGCCCAAGTGATCCTCCCACCTCAGCCTTTCAAGTAGCTGAAACCACAGGCATGTGCCACCACGCCTGGCTAATTTTTTTCATTTTTGTAGAAACTGGGATTTTCTTTATGTTGCCCAGGCTGGTCTGGAATTCCTGGGCTCAAGTGATCCTCCCGCCTCGGCCTCCCAAAGCTCTGAGATTACAGGCATGAGCCACTGCTCTGGCCAATACACTTATGATTTTAATTATGATATTTACGCCAATGAAAACACTAGCAAAAAGGTAAAACAACTGCCAATTTAATGTGATCACTTAGTCTAAACAGCCTAGTAGGAATGAAGAATTTTTAACCTGTAAATGCAACAAAAAGCCAAAAATGAAAGGGACATTATGCTCTCCAGAAAAGTGTGGCTAAATTTTCCCCAGCCCGTCTTAACGGTGTAGGGAAGTGCAGACGGCCCTTAAATATGGCCATTTTTGGTTGAGAACTCACGTGGAAAGTCCTCAAAGCCAAATCCCAATTCCTGTTTTACTATTTTTCCCCCTCGAGCTTGCTGAGTTGTCTTTGCCCTCCCGGAAAAGACTTTGCTCAAAACATAAAATAGAAATTTTAGCGGTGTGAATCTAGTAGTCGACTACAGGAGGTATTAAAAATAAACACCACCACCAGAGCAAAAACTTAACAGCGGTTACAATACCTTCCACGTGCTTTTATTTTACATAAAACCATGACGATTAAAAAGCTGGTCTCTCAGCTTTCCGGGTATTGGTTTGTTTTCCCCCTAAACCGTTGTTTTTGTAGGCACTTGCACTGTCTTCTCAGCAGAATTGCCTATGGCTTTCCTCGAGACCTACATTTAACGATTGGCAAAAATCACGCACTGACGGAGCTCGACTCGGGTGGGTACAAGGAAGTAGACAAGGAAGCAGGAAGAAGTAGGAGGTGCACGGGTGGGCGGGATCGACACTGAAGGCGGTGCGACCGCGCGGGGCGGTGCAGGTTGGCGGAACCCGCGTGAGCGAGGTTGGTGTTGCGAAGGGAACTAGTCCGGTGCAGGACGTGGGGCTTTTGCAGCCTAGCTGGTTCCGGCTGGGGAAGATGGCGGTGGCTGGGGCGGTGTCCGAGGAGCCGCTGGTGCACTGGTGCACCCAGCAGTTACGGAAAACTTTCGGCCTGGATGTCAGCGAGGAGATCATGCAGTGAGAACAGCTCGGGGCCGAGCGGGGAAGGAGCTCTGGGTTGTGCACTGGCTGAGCGAACCGGGAAGCGGGGAGGACTGAAAAGTTGAGAGAGAAATGTGATAAATAGGCTGCAGCGTGTAGTCTGTAGGCGTGGAATTTTGGCCTCCACCTTTATAGTTTTGTTTCTGGAATAGGGTGTCCGGCTGCACGCATCTGGCTTCTTTCCTGGGAAGACGCCGAAGCTTTAATAATAAGACCTCAAGACTGTCCCAGGAACTAGTTTCCTTATAGATTTTGGAGAGGAGGGGCAAGTCAAATTGAATTTCCTAACTCTGAACTCCTTACTCTTTAATTTTTACTACTTTTGAGACGGAGTCTTGTTCTGTCGCCCAGGCTGGAGTACAGTGGCGCGATCTCGGCTCACTGCAATCTCCACCTCCTGGGTTCAAGCGATTCCCCTGCCTCATTACAGGCATGCATCACCACACCCGGCTAATTTTTATTTATTTATTTTATTTATTTATTTATTTTTTTTTTGGTAGAGACGGGGTTTCGCCATGTTGGCCAGGCTGATCTCCAACTCCTAACCTTAAGTGGCCTGCCCGCCTTGACCTCACAAAGTGTTGGGATTACAGGCGTGAGCCAACGCACCCGGATATAGTCTGAACATTTTAGTTGGCCCAGTTTGAGTTGTGTCAGTAGGGCCAACAGGGTCAGCTGTGTCAATAGGACCTAGAATTTAAGTGGGACCAGCGTGGTAGAGTACAAATAGCTTCCGACTCAGGAGTCGCAAGTTCTATATATTCTGTTGGCGTTTACCTGTTTTAGAACCCAGCACAACTTAATTTTCCTCTCTGTACCTTGGTTTCTTCATCTCTAAGATGAAGTATTAGAAGAGCTTGTCATGTTTTATGACTCCTATGAAATGGAGATGAACATGATTTAATATCTGCTTTCAACTGATTAAAGAACATTTGTTGTACTACTGTTAAACATGACAGGTGCTGGGGTAACAAAAACAAGACAGTTGGGTTGCCCTTTGTTGAGTACTGAGGTTGGGAAGTGAGGGGGCTTGTTGGAGCACAAAATAAAGGATCCTTATTAAGATTTGAAAAACTCAAAAGGTTTACTGGAAAGGATGGCTTTCACCTGAAAATTAAGGAATAGACAGAGGTGGAGGGCAAAGTGTTCAGACAGGGGAGGAAACTACAAAAATGGGACTTGATGAAAGAAAGAGTTCCTTAATTTGATTCCTTGGTCACTGATGCTGAAACCTAAATTGCAGTTCTAGGGCTTTTGTAGGAAGTATGATGAGTTTCTGAGTTTGGGAGAAAATAGGCTTTTGGCAAGGAGAGAGTTAAAGTAGGCTATTTTAAAGGATTTTTTGAGGCCCAACAAGATGCCTCAACCCTGTAATCCCAGCACTTTGGGAAGTGGAGGTGGGAGGATCACTTAAGCCTGGGAGTTGAATTCCAGCCTGGGCAACATAGTAAGACCCTGTCTCTACAGAAATAAAAGAAATAAACAAGATAGAGAATTTTTTTTTGAACACTAGATTACCAAAAAAAAGGAAACAAAACAAAAAAACAGCAAAATCTTGTGGTTTAGCTTTTCCATTGTTTGAAGGCAGTCTGATTAAGTATTTAATAGTTTTTTTTTTTTTTTTTTTTTTTTTTTTTTTTTTTTTTTTTTTTTTTTTTTTTTTTGAGACGGAGTTTCGCTCTTGTTACCCAGGCCAGAGTGCAATGGCGCGATCTCGGCTAACCTCCACCTCCACCTCCCGGATTCAAGCGATTCTCCTGCCTTAGCCTCCTGAGTAGCCGGATTACAGGCACGCGCCACCATGCCCAGCTGATTTTTTATATTTTTACTAGACACGGGGTTTCACCATGTTGTCCAGGCTGGTCTCAAACTCCTGACCTCAGATGATCCACCCGCCTCGGCCTCCCAAAATGCTGGGATTACATGTGAGAGCCACTCTGTCTGGCACAATTTTTGCATATTTATTATGAAGTTACTCAGTATTTTTAAAAAAAAAAAGAAAGAAAGAAAAAAAAGATTGGCCAGGCATGGTGGCTCATGCCTGTAATCCCAGCACTTTGGGAGGCTGAGGTGGGAAGATCACGAGGTCAGGAGTTCAAGACCAGCCTGGCCAACATGGCCAAACCCCGACTCTATTAAAAATACAAAACTTAGCTGGGTGTGGTGGTCCGTGCAGGTAGTTGCAGCTGCTCAGGAGGCTGAGGCAAGAGAATCCCTTGAACCCGGGGGAGGGCACAGATTTCATGCCAATACCACACCACTGCACCCCATCCTGGGTGACAGAGTGAGACTCTGTCCCGAAAAACAAAGAAAAAGAGATTGAGGATATTTTTGATGAATCAATAATTTGAAATAGGGTAAGAATGATAGATGTAGACTTCTCAGTCTAGAATCTAGTTGTATTTTGTTTGGATTACACAGTATCAAGAAAATTGATTCTCACACTAGACGTGGTGGCTCACGCCTATAATCCCAGCACTTGGTGAGGCCAAGGTGGGTGGATCACCTGAGGTCAAGAGTTCGAAACCAGCCTGGCCAACATGGTGAAACCTGGTCTTTACTAAAAATACAAAACTTAGCTGGGCATTGTGGCATGAGCCTGTAATTCTAGCAACCCTGGAGGCTAAGGCAGGAGAATCGCTTGAACCTGGGAGGCCAGGTTACAGTGAGCCAAGATTGTACCATTGCACTCCAGCCTGGGTGACAGAGTGAGACTCCATCTCAAAAAACAAACAAGGAAATTGCTTCTCATAGATAGTAGTTTAGCAGCTCATTTTGCACCTAGGTTTTCCTCAATTAAACATACACCTTTGAAAGTGGAGTGATAAGAACTTTTCTGTTTTAAAGTTGAAGCACTAAGTATGACTAAATGCTTGCATTTTAAAAATCATAAGTTAAACAAGAAGTGTTCAGAACTTAAAATAAGCACTGAAGCTACCTATGCTATGATACTTCAAAAAAAATGTATGGCTGGGCTCTGTGGCTCATGCCTGTAATCCCAACTCTTTTGGAGGCCAAGGCGAGTGGATCACGAGGTCAGGAGTTCAAGACCAACCTGGCCAAAATGGTGAAACCCGTCTAAAATACAAAAAATTAGCCAGGCATGGTGGCAGGTGCCTGTAATCCCAGCTACTCGGGAGACTGAGGCAGAAGAATTTCTTTTTTTTTGAGACGGAGTTTCACTCATGTTACCCAGGCTGGAGTGCAATGGCGCGATCTCGGCTCACCGCAACCTCCGCCTCCTGGGTTCAGGCAATTCTCCTGCCTCAGCCTCCTGGGTAGCTGGGATTACAGGCACGCACCACCATGCCCAGCTAATTTTTTGTATTTTTAGTAGAGACAGGGTTTCACCATGTTGACCAGGATGGTCTCGATCNAGAGACAGGGTTTCACCATGTTGACCAGGATGGTCTCGATCTCTTGACCTCGTGATCCACCCGCCTCGGCCTCCCAAAGTGCTGGGATTACAGGCTTGAGCCACCGCGCCCGGCCTAGAAGAATTTCTTGAACCTGGGAGGCAGAGGTTGCAATGAGCCAAGATCGTACCACTGCACTTCAGCCTGGGTGACAGAGTGAGACTCTGTCTCAAAAAAAAAAAAAAAGAAAGAAAGAAAAAGAAAAGAAAAAAAAAAGTGGGGTGTGGTGGTTCAGACTGTAACCCCAACACTTTGGGAGGCTGAGGTGGGCAGATCACTTGAGGTCAGGACTTCGAGACCAGTCTGGCCAACATAGCGAAACTCCACCTCTACTAAAAATAATAATAATAATACAGAAATTAGCCAGGCTTGGTGTCGTGCGTCTGTAATCCCAGCTACTTAGGAGGCTGAGATAGGAGAATCACTTGAACCTGGGAGATACACTCCAGCCTGGTGGACTGAGCGAGACTGTCTCTCTCTTTTTTTTTCTTTTTTCTTTTTTTTTTTATTTTTCCTCCTCTTCTTCTGACTGTGTCTCAAACAAAGAGACAAAACTCCAGAGTTAAATGATCCCTTGGGATTCCTTATAGTTCTGCAAGTCGGATAGCAGTTGATCTTTTGATGGGGGCTGGTTAGTTTGGGGATCAAGGTGATTAAAATGCATAATTCCTGAAAAGCCATTGTCTTTTATAATCCATAGTAATTAGAAGATGCCTGTTTTTGGGGGGTGTGTGTGTGTGTGTGTCTGTGGTTTTGTTTTTTGTTTGTTCGGGGTTTTTTTTGTATTTTTAGTAGAGACTGGGGTTTTACCATATTGGCCAGGTGACTAATTCCTGACCTCAGGTGGTCCACCCACCTTGCCCTCCCAAAGTGCCGGGATTACAGGCGTGATCCACCACACCTGGCCATTTTTGTTTTTTTGAGACAGAGTCTCAGGCTGGAATGTACTGGCACAATCATGCATGGCTCTACAGTCTTCACCTCCGAGACTCAAAGGATCCTTCCACCTCAGCCTCCCAAGTAACTAGGACTACAGGCGTGTGCCTCCATGCCTGGCTAATTTTAATTTTTCTTCTAGAGACAAGATCTCCCTGTGTTGCCCAGGCTGGTCTCAAACTCCTAGGCTCAAGTGATGCTCTAATCTCAGCCTCCCAAATTGTTGGGATTACAGGCATGAGCTAGCATACCCAGCCAGAAGATGCTCTTAAGTAGGGCCAAAGGCACAGATTTGTTCACCTCTAGGGCATGATTCTCCAATTCTACCACTACACTAGGAAAAGAATGTAGTACATATGCTACCAGTCATGAGACAATTTCATAACTTGGTAAAATTTAAAGGATATAGCACTATTATAATAATTTTTCTTGCATTCCACGCCATTGGGTTTGAATTACAGTTTCTTCAGATCCTACAATGTTTTCAGTGTCTTATATGTTAATTTATAAGTAATTTTTATCACTTCTTTCTCCTATAATGGTAAGACATTCACTGTAGAAAACTAAAAAAATCAGAAAAGGATAAAAGAAGAAACCAAAATTACCATAATACTACAACCCAGAAATAACTGCTGTTTCTCTCTTAGTGTTTTTTCCCACATATATTATGATGTAATACATTTAAAAAACATATTTATTATAGGAAAAAAAGAGAATAAAAATAAATTAAAACTACCTTTATTCCTGTCACTCAATAGTAATCATTTTGGTGTGTAACTTTGTTTTTTTTCTACATATAAGTATATGTATGTATACATTCCTTTTATAGCAGTTAGGGTTGTATTGTATTTCTAGCATCTAGCATAGTAGTTGGCTCAAAGTAAAGACTCTAATAGATTAATGTAATGGTTTTACTACCTAGATCTTCGTTAAGATTACTAAAAAACAGTGTAAGTTAGTCTTGTTTCAACAATTTATATCTTTGCCTCCTGAGGTATGTTTTGTCAATTGAGAGTGCTGAAGAGATACGAGAATATGTTACTGATCTCCTCCAGGGAAATGAAGGCAAAAAAGGTCAATTCATAGAAGAACTTATAACCAAATGGCAAAAGAATGATCAGGAGTTGACTTCTGATCCTTTGCAGCAGTGTTTCAAAAAAGATGGTAAGTTAATGTAATCAAGTAAATGTTGAAATATTGGCAAGTGGGCAAGCTTAAAGAAATTTATTAGGCCGGGCGTGGTGGCTCAAGCCTGTAATCCCAGCACTTTGGGAGGCCGAGGCGGGTGGATCACGAGGTCAAGAGATCGAGACCATCCTGGTCAACATGGTGAAACCCCGTCTCCACTAAA